GTATACATCATAATTCTGGACAGTGTAATTTGAGGTGTGTGTGTGTGTGCGTGTGTGTGTGTTGAGTGGCAAAGCAAGAAAATAAAGACAAAAATTAATCCAATATGGAGCCTCAATTCTATTGCCTGAGATATTGTAATTATTTATCAAGTATTTTGTTTCACTGAGTTTAGAATGCTTCAAAACTGATAAAGAATTAAGATTTAGATGTTGAACTTCTCATGTAACCTATGGTCTGATTCACCATTCACCATTTTGACTACTACATTCTGATTTTCTAATTTGAACATGAAATTTTTCCTTTAAAAAAAAAGTTCCTTCCCTGTATATCGAAGTCAAAGTTAAAACCTCGAAACACTTTTTCTTTTAAATGTTTTTAACTTTAATTTTTACAAGTCAAACATTGTATTAGTTGAACTGGGCATTGGAACAAGAAAGACATGAAAAAGGAAGTGCCCAGCAAGACTTCTTTTTCTCTCTTATTTTCTCTCACTTTGTATTTGTGTATTTACTTAGCTGTGTTTGATTAATTTGATGTCTTCTGTGGATGCATAGTAAAGTTTTCTTTATTTTTTTAAATTGAGATATAATTGACATAAGTAAAATTTTTATTAAAGAAACAGGAAAAGAATGGTGGTCCACTTTAGTCCAGGAAGAGTACTTCCACTCAGCATTTCAAAGTGTTAAGTTTGGTTTTGTGACTTCTCCTATCCAAGGCGTCCTTACTTTTTGCTCTTAAGGATAATCTTAGTTTTCAAAAGGCATTTTGTAAACTCACAGTGTGAAAGGTGTAGGAAAGAGTACAGAAGCTCAGAGAAAGTGGTTGTAATTCCAAGCAAGCCCAAGTTACAGGACTGTGTCATGCCTTAATCTATATAGTGTTTCTGTGTACACACTAGGGTATTAATAGGGCCAGAATTACCCTTTGCTGTATTACCACTGCCTTTTCTTAAAGATTCTGTTACATGGTTCCAATCTTGGGATCATTGTTTTTTCTTCTACAGTGTATTTTGGGAAAAGCTTCTTTACAACTCATGCATATTATTGATAGAAGGCAAATAAATGTACTTTCAAGTATCTCCTATGTGCAAAGTATTCTACTTTACTGCAGGAGGCTGGAGGTTGAATGAGATTTAGTTTGTAGTCTTGAAAGTGACCATCTTGGGGCTACATTTTGGACTCCTCCCTTAGTGAGTAGTACTGTCTGTATTCATTAACACCAGATCCCTATTAAGACCAGATCCTTACCCTTTCTGCCTAGGAGCTCATCTTCTCTCTCTATCACAGTCGTTTTTTTTTTCCATGAGAGGAATATACATTTGCGTATCGGCAGCAAGTATCAAAGCAAGTAGAAAGAGCTTTCATGATGTGTATGATCTTGTATCATATAATAAGTTTGAATATAATCTAGATTTTTGCTAAAGATTATTTCTCTCTCTCTTCTGGAGATAAATATTCATAATAAGTCCATTTCTAGGAAACCCGTCTGTCTCTGGAGAACTCAAAATTGGGTTCCTTCATAGATTGCTCCTTCCACTTATTACATACATCTGCAACACTGCTTCCTCTGCGAGGGCTCTTTCTCCAATTTCCAGCACTCTCTGGCCTTCCTCCCATTTTAGAGTCCTTCTCTCCATCTGATGGACAGTAGGCATGAGTTCTTTCTGTGTCTCTCCCACCTTCCCTTTCTTTTTACCTCTTTAATTTTGCTGATCCAAATGAACTTATAAATTGCTATTAACCCTAGGTCTTTGTATCTCCTCACGAGGACAGTGTTTTATGACAACTAATGGTTTGGATCGACTGATTCCAGAGTCCAGCAACTGGTCTTTGTTAAGATCAAGTGCTGCCTTCTGTCTACTCTGTAGAGGCTGAACCTAACCTCTTGAGGAACAGGATCAGTACTCTCTAAAGACTCTCTTCTTTTTCTCCTCCTCTCGTGTTTCCTCTTACCCCCCAAACATTACTATGTGAGTTTGTTAGAAAATCTCCCAAGCCTGGTATCACGAGGGTGAGTGAGCAGACTTTCCACAGCCTGTTCTTCCCATCCCCACTTCAAGTGTTTTGCATATGGTATTTAGGAGGATTATTAAACAAAAATGAAATAGATTAAGAAATGAGCATAAAAGAATCAATTCTCTGGAACTGTGGTTGCATAATGGAAATCGACTACCATGAATGAACCCTTGTACTGAAGTTATGAACAGCAGAGCTAATGCACTGCCATGAGTTCATCTTTATTATTGCATTACACCTGAATCAATTGATAAAATAGCCTTTTTTTTTTTTTAAGCAAGGGATGGCACTTAATTGAATAAAAGTCAATGTAATTATATTAGCAGAGGCCAACAGTACTGCTGACAGTGGAAAAGGGACACTTTTGAACAGAGTGCCAGAGCTGGTCTACACATTTCTGCACATCGTTTGGTTGACAGATATTGAGGGCTGGTACATCATCTAATTAGATTACAGATTTCTGTTGCTGTAAGTGAGAAATGAAGAGAAACATCTCTTCCTGGTAACATATCAGTAGAGATGTGTAATTTCACAAGTCATCTTAGGAAAGAAGTGTCCATCTGGGTGATCCGTGTGTCCTCTTGTCAATGTTAATTTATTCTTCCTTATTCAGTGTGTCTGGATGTGACTGCTGTGTGTCTGGCTGCTGTTTTCTCAGCAGTGAATCTAGGAAGTGGTAACTGCAGATGTGTGAGAAGCAACGGAGTTCTAGATTACAGTCCTCACAAAATGTGTGCTTGTGAAATTAAGAAAGTGGGGAGGGTGTTACAAATAATAAACAGAGGGGTAGGCTTTTGCGGGCTACTTACGGTTGGCAGTTTGTTTTATCAATAGAGTCATAGGATGCAGTGTAACTCTGTTTCCACCTCCTTATAATAAGTGTGGGGGCATCACACCCGCACGTCAGGGTGGAGACCGCACAGTAGGTGTTTCCTGCACTCTGCTTAGCAACCTGCACTTGGAGTCATCTGCCATCTGACACCCAGGACACGGGGAGCAACAGTGTCAGAGCAGGGACCGTGGGGACAGCTTCTGTTTATCACTCGCATACTCCCCCCGCCCCCACCCCGCATGCATCTGTGTAGAACTCATTTATGGATGATAATGATGCTGTGAATTTGGTTTATCTTAATTCGATTCATGATTTTTGGATTATACAGCTGATCTGAAAATCATCAAGACAGCATATGAGATGATCGCTTAATGACAGAAAATGATTTTGTGATCAGAACATTTTAAATCCCTATTTTATTGTTTAAGTTTTTTTTTAAACCAGATGTCTAGAATGTGAATTTGTTTTCTCTCTCTCTCTCTCTTTCTCTCTCTTTCTCTCTCTCTCTGTCTCTCATTCTTGCTTCTTTTGTGATCGATTTAGCAAAAGATTAGAAAGCTGATCTTATTATCACAAGGTAAGCTCAGCCTTCCTAAGTGCAGTGTGGAGAGGGCTGCTCCCCTCTACCCCTTAACACCTGGAGTGCTATATATTGTCTTGTGTGGAAAGGTGGAGAAGTCTTTTCCTACCTTTCTTGTCTCTGAGGCACATACCTCTCAACCATCTCTAAGAAATTTGCCATGCTTGTCACCAAATGGAGTGACTCATTTTGGTCTTGCATATGTTTTAATTATAATCAGGAGGTCTGTTGAATGTTATACTGGCCATTCTAGGTCATTTCTATTATCACAGTTACTTCTTCAAGATGTAGAGCTTCTGCCATTATCGAGAAGCTTTTATGTATCTGTGTATTTATTTATTGGTTTATTTTTTGGAAGGGTATTCTCCAATTTAGGTGCTTGTCAAATATGTGAGCCTTTGCAGGTGGAGAGAGGTATATGCCCAAGGGCACTTTAAAAATAAATGGGGGATGTAAATACAAAGGCAATGTTTTCAGATAGATAATAACATATCAGGCTTTGTAAATCATGACATCCCTATGGATGCTGGGGGACAAATCCTATCTTTGTTTCTTTTTTTGTTTTCACACAAGCAAAGCACTTAGTAGAGTAAAAGTTTTGCTTGTCCAAGAAGTACAGATGCCAGTTGTTAAAATAGGGGGACTGTATATTGTGCTTGATTTTGGGGGTATTTATTGTGTGTATCCTTTTCTTTTTAGTCCTTTTGGTTTTTTCTGTTGTTTAGTGTGATTTTTTTAAAGGTGGTTGGGTTTTGTTTTAAAAAACAATTTCTATTATTCAGGCTTTGTTTTAAAGGATTACATTTTAAAGGTTGAATTACTCGATGAAAGCATTTTCAACAGTAAAATGCAGCAGCTTCTGAAAATGAAGCACAGTTTACTAGAAGGTTAGTTGAGATCCCAAATTATTCTGAGGAAAGGGATGTATGATACAGTCTGCAACCCTATTTCAAATTGTTAATCTATAAAACTAAATTTTTTCCTTCCTAAAACGTGAAATATAGACAGGTGAGGGGGAAGATGTTATTGTGTTTTAAAGTTAAACTGAAATTATCTAGACCGTTTACTTTTTTAAAAAATTGATCTTTTTTATACCTCTAAATGAAGTACTGTAGGCAAAAAAAAGCTTGGTTTTTGGTTTTTTTGTTTTTTTCAGGTGTAAATTCAAATTATTCAGTTTAGATAAGCAGCATGTTTCCATTCTTTTGCCCTATTTAATATATGTTCTGAAATCTCTGCTGTGAGATTCTCCGCAGCTGGTGCTGCTACCCAGGAAAGCTAAGAGTATCATTGAGAAAAAGGTGCATGGGTTTGCATTCATCCTACCATTGAGGAATTGTACTCTTTTAAAAATTACGTTAATGAAAGGCTCCCCTTATTGCACTCCCCACCACCACTTATTCCCAAATCCTGAGAATGTAGGGAAATGTTTGCTTTTATAATGGTGTAATTAGCAATGAATGTGCTTATTTGATGCCTGGTGGAAGCTGAATCAATTTTAAAATGTTCTTCTTTTTCTCACCCCTCCCCACTCCCTGTACACCTCCCCCCCCTTCCCTCTTGTTTTCCTAGACACAGTGCCAACATAAACCTGCATCGCAAACTGTTGACCAAAGAACTCGATGACATGGGCCTGGACTCAGCGCAGCCCTCCCTTAGCAAGGACCTCCGGGATGAATTTTTGATGAAGATCTATGGTGCCCAGCACCCCTTGGGGCTCGATGTCAGGGAAGATGCCTCCTCTCCCGCAGGTACTGAAGACTCCCACCTGAATGGGTACGGGAGAGGCATGGCAGAGGACTACATGGTCCTTGACCTGAGCACCACCTCCAGCCTGCAGTCCAGCAGCAGCATCCATTCCTCCCGAGAATCCGATGCGGGCAGCGACGAGGGGATTCTTCTCGACGACATCGACGGGGCGAGTGACAGTGGGGAGTCCGCACACAAGGCCGAGGCCCCTGCCCTCCCGGGCAGTTTAGGGGCCGAAGTTCCAGGATCTCTGATGTTCAACAGCTTGTCCGGGAGCAATGGTGGGATCATGTGCAACATTTGCCACAAAATGTACAGCAACAAGGGGACTTTGAGAGTGCACTACAAAACTGTGCATTTGCGAGAAATGCACAAGTGCAAAGTCCCTGGTTGCAATATGATGTTTTCCTCTGTGCGAAGCCGAAACCGGCACAGTCAGAACCCTAATCTCCACAAAAACATTCCCTTCACTTCAGTAGATTAGGCTCAGAACGGACACTACAGATGCCAGCTCTCACCAGATGGCCTACATATTTGAACTGCCATAGTCAGTGTGTGCTTGTGTACTTGGGTGTGTGTGTATGTGTGCGTGTGTGTGTGTGTGTACACATGTACGCCTCTGTGTCTACATACACACACATGCATCTTTAGATATAAAAAGATAAACACTAGGTGCTTTTGAAATTGTTTTCTTTTTCCTTTATAGTTTTGGGAAAGGGGTGGGAACTTTAATTTGGGAGTGAAAACAGAGTACCCTTAAAACACACACACACACACACACACAAAGTGTGCAACTAGCCCAAATTCTGAAAGAATAAGAATTCTCGGTCCTCTCAGAGGGACAGTTTGTTGTACCCATGACTGTTGCCTGCAAAGAAATAAATAAAAGGGGAAAAAAAAGAAAAAAGAAACAAAAAAGGAACTTCTTACAGTTGTCTTTTGTGAACTTTAAGGTTTTGAGAGAATCTTCAATTAAAGCATGGCAGATTCACCTGTAAATATTTAGCCTTGAGAGGCCAATGATGTAAAGCAATTGTATTGATGGTTGTTTAACTCTTTTGTTTAATTTTTACAGTTACATCCAGCTGTTAGATATGCAGGAGAAAAATAGTTTGCTGGCTAGCTCTATTCATTTATTTAGCATTAATGCACATTTTTTTTTTTTTTTTTGAAGAAAAACCATGGTCTTGTTTTTACTACCTGCTAGATAGTGATAAAGAGGTGCTGGCATGCTTTACAGCACAGATCTGATTTTTTAAAATGTCCTGTACTAGTACATAAATCCAGTCATGCACTTTTTTTCATACACTACAAGGGGATGTGTAATATCCATGCTTCTTTTTTTATCCTTAAACTATTGCCATACTTCAAGTAAGTGTCTTTTTAAAAAAATTCACTTGTATAAAAATGGTCTGGTCAGTATAGGGCACAAATGCCAAACAAAAGTATTAGTGTTAACACAAAACTGCCAACTTTGCACAAGTTTCCAGAAAAGAAAATACAATTAGTCACTCAACATAACCACAGGCCAATTTGTCGGCCACCAGAAAACCGCTTTAAAAAAAGAACACTTGGTGATTCTTTCAAGTGCCGAATGTTATTAGAATCAACATTGCATCCTTCTTGCTTATATGTTAAGTTACATAAAAGGAAAACAAAATTATGTGGTGTGAAACAGCCAAGGCATTTACTCTTCAGAGGCAGGATAATATTTCAGGATACAAAAGCCCAAGTTACTCACTATGGAACAAAGCTGAAAATAGCAAAAGTGTTGAACACTCATTTCCAAGGACCTAACCCTTCTCCTTTAAAAAGAAAGAAGTAAGTCTGCACTGGGTTGGTCTGTTGTATGGCTGTCTAATTTTTTGCAAGTTAGGCAGTCGTCCTATGATTCAGGCCCGTTTGATAGACAAAATCAAAAGACATTTCACAGCGGCAGTTACTCAGAAGCTTTGAAAACATGTGCTGAACTTGAATTGAGCAACACTCCTTTCTGAAAAGCCAGACGAAGGGGGGTTTAAAATAGGATCTCTCACTGTTGAGTGTTTTGTGTTTCCCCACATGATTTGTCAGAGAGAAATGAAAGCAAGCCTGAAACCCAGCAATTGAGAGTGAGAAAGAGGGGGAGACAATTCTCCAAACCTTTTTTGTTTTGTTTTGTTTTGTTTCCGATGTTTACACATGTTGCCTGAGCTGGTTAACCACATGGGCAGCCCTCAGCTACCACAACATACTGACTAAATGATGATATTTACTCAAGTTCAGTCTGCAGCCAAAACCATTAGGACATGCATTGCAGACTGTGTTTTATTGTCTTTTTTTTTTTTTTAAAGTGGAGGGGGTAAGACAGATAAACAAGGAATATTTTGTCTAACAGTACACAATAATTTAAAGAGAATGTATTTCTTTTCTGCATTTAATGGCCTCAAACATTTCTCTCATCGGTCTCAAGGTTAGAAATACCCCCTTTGTTTGAACTTTGCATGTTGTTTCCATTTTTCATATGTTTTGTAATTATTTTTTCTATGTTCACATCAGCATTCACTTCCGTTAAATTTGCCAAAGGAAACTGTTAATATGTTTCTGTTGTTGTTATTATTCCTGTAGGATTTATTGTACCTCACAGTATTTATTGTTTCCAAAAATAAGCATCATTAGTTGAGGATTCAGTATTTTTATTTGTAAAAATTTCAGAAACAATAGATTCTTCAAGATAAGCTAGACTTGTCTAGAAGCTTCATCTTTTCATCTCCTTCAGAGGATACTATGGGGTTCGTTTAATTCGTTTGTTCTCCAGTGAGGAAAGACCAAAAATATTCGCAGTACAAAAGAAACCATATCAAACACTATGTCTGTTAAATGACAAATGTTTACGGTAAAAAGCTGAGGAATTAGTAATAACCATTTTTGTTTTCTTGTACCTTTGAATTTCCCAAAGTCTTAATTGCTTTATTTTGGTGTTGTGTTAAATTGAATAGACAGAGATGTTTTCCTTTGTTTTATACCATATAAGACTATGTACAGTATGTTTGTGGAAAAATTGAACTAGAATAATGAAAGTTTGTTTGCAAACATTTTCGTCCTCTTAGCGTTCTCTGTGTTGTGCTGTTGCCCCACTACCAAATGATTCGAGTCAAAAAGGGTGGAAAAAATATTTTTTAGTATACCAAGAAGAGATTAGGGAGACACTAGCTTTTGGATTGTGATAGACTGAATTACACCTAGTTTTATGAAAATTAACACATTTTTATTTCAGTGATATTTAAAAGTTATACTCTTGGCTGAGCTATTAGAACTCATCTTGTACAGAATCAATGTTTAGTCTGTTTAATTTAATGTCAACTAAAAGGTCAAATAGCCCTCGTGAGTGAATTACATAGCTGTCAGCAGGTCACATCAGCAAATGAACTGGGCTTAGAACAAATGTTTGTTACTTGCCACAAACCGGGCTAATGTGAATAGCCAGTTAGAACAGCCCGGAAGTAATGAGATTCTCAAAGTAGAATTCCCCTTGCTCGGAAACGTGAATGTGTTCGCCTGAGATTTGTCAGAGAAACGGCCACGAGTCCTGGACAACTGGCTCTTGTTTTTAAGTGTCTCCCCTATTTGCTACTGCTTTTGTGCCTCAAGTGCCCAAATGTTATGGTGGCCTTCTAAATGGGTGAAAAACACTTTCTAGTATAAAGCCTATTTGCTTAAAAAGGGAACGGGGGAGTGGATGGAAGCAAAGCGGCACCTGGACTTAACATGTAACATTATGGATTGCACAGGGCTTCCCGTCCCAGAGTGTTGCTTGTTCTCGGGTGTGTGCCTGAGCTCAGTGTTTTGACTTAGCTGTACATCTAGTTAGGACAGTGATCCCAAGGCTTACTTGCAAACGGGAAGGGAAAAGACATCAGCATTTTAATCACTGGGCCCTTCGTCTTTGTCCGTTTTCTACTCGTTTGTTTTTTCGTAGGAGTTTTCTATGGTGAAACGGTTTCTCTCGAGCTGCATCCATTCTGTGCTGGCTGAAAAGAAAGGGCGATGCAGATTTTCATCCAAGCAGCTTTCCCCCATTTGATTGATTTAACCACGGTTTTGTCACAGGTAGAAAATGAGGCAGTATTATTAATGTGCATGTTCGCTAGCTGATGTCGAAACTTACTGTTTTGATCATTTTAAAGTATGTTTTTGCACATATCAGAAAGGCTGAGTCTGCTTTAGGGAACATCTGCACGCTGCGGAGGCGACGGCAAAGAGCAAGAGGAGGGGTAGATGATGCGTAATTTGGTTTTAAAAATGGGATTAAGAAGCTCGACCCTCTTTGTTCTGCTATTAATTGTATGGAGATAAGTCAGCGCAATGTAATGCTTCTCAGGATCCTAGTCTAGCTGTCCAGTGCAGCCTGAGACCTTTTAAAGGTTTGAAGGTATTAATGTTTTCTTTCTCAATGTGAATACATCTTTTTTGAAAATGTGTTTAGCACAATGGTACCACTGTCCTTGTAGTGTGATTTCTTTGGTCATGAATTTCCAGGCCCTTCTAGTAAGAGGAGAAAGACACTTCCCTGGTTAACAGCCCTGTTACTGTATACATTGCTCTTAAAACAAAAACAAACAAACAAAAACTTTGAATATACTAAGAATAGGCTGTTATTCCAGAGGCGTTCTCCCCATTTTACTCAGGAGAAACCAAGCACTAGATTCCCACCAAATAAAAAGTGACCTTTTGTTCCCCTTCCTAGGTACACACCCCAGATGTGTACCAAGCAAATGAGAATGGGGGCCATTGGCAATTAAAACATAGAGAAGCCGGGAACCAGCTTGGGGTGGACATGCTGCTAACTGCTAACAGTTGACCTGAGCAGTCCTAACTTGTGCTCGGTCTGTTAGCGTTGGATTCAATTGACGAACAGAGTAAATAAAACTCAGCTGTAATAAGACACACCACCTCTGCTATCAAAAAAACAAACCATACAGAAGAAATCTTCTTTTATCCCCCGTACACACTCCTTAACTTCTAAACAATTACAATAAATTTTATTCATTAAAAACTCAGAATATTTATGTCAGAGGATCTCGCTTCTCCCTCCCATGCTTTGCCTTTTAATGGGTATGGCCTAAGTGTGATAAGGAGGGCGATAAAAGGCAGGTGCCAAAAAGACTGGAGGGAATGAGTTTTTCCAAAAGCAGATTAAGGGGTACCAAGTAGGGGATTGATACTTGCCCTGGCTTAGGGTAGCGAGAAAGGAAAATGGTGAATGAACCCAAAGTGTGCAAAAGGAAGGTCTGGTACACTTATGCCAAGCAGTGGTGAGAGCATATGATGCACCGCCCCACAGAGCTCCCTATGACCAGGTGCACCGTGGCACCCCAGTCTGAGTAACAGGGGAAAGCAAAGACAGCTGCGAGGAAATACACGTTCCTTATGGGTCAGAATAGCCAACAAGGGCAACTGTGGAGGCTTTTTCTTTGCTTTTGGTTTTGTTTTGCGGGTGGGAAGTGATGGTGGAGTCCCTTAGGGAAGCAAAGAGATGTGGTGGGTCACCTAGGTTCTAGAAAAGGCTGGTGGTCAAACTGGGCTCT